TACTTTGCAAATTACAATCGAGCCAACAATCCAGAATTTTTGCCATTGATCAAATTGCGTATACGTAATGTATTCGTGTTCTGCCACGCAGAACTTAAAATTTAAATAAATGGCACTGAGAGCCATAAATTACGTGCGTTCTTAAGCAGCTCTAACAAAAGGTTCTTACCCTTCTTGAACTGCCACGGCAAATGTATCCAAAATATTCCGCATTACAACAAAAAGCAATAGAGGAGGAGCAAGAAGAAGAAACGCAGAAACAAAAAAGTTTTTCTTTTTTTTATGTTCGTTCGTTCGTCTATGCAAAAGAATCCCAGAAGTTGTCACACGCTGCAGTTTAATGTGAAACTAATGCAGAAAACTGTCAGCAATTGGATATACATATATATGTATATATCTGGCAATGTGTGTGTGTGTGTGTTATCCAAGAGTTGCCGTAAGACGAAAGGTTGCACGAAAGTAGAAGATGCAAAGAAATAGAATTTTTTCGCTTTGCAGCAGACAAATTTTCAATTGCAATTTTTTGCTTTGTTTTTTTTTTTTTTAACTTAATTTGCAATTTGAAATTTGCATTTGTTTTGTTTATGTTTCTTTTATTTGTGTTAGTAAAAATTTGTATATTTCTTTTATTTATGCCAAATTTTGTATTGTTGATCAATTTGCATTTTGCACTTCACTTGGACACATTCAGAAATTTATCTTGTTGATTATTTTTAATTTTGGTGTAAAATATTTGATTTATTTTCATTTATTTACTTTTTCTTTTTTGTCGAGTCTTTTAAAAAATTCTAGCAAAAATGTTTGCTGTGTTATTTTTAGCGTCGGGCAATGAAACTAACAAAAAATTTTCACTCACATGTGGAAAATGCCGCTGCACGCACTTTTCATTTTATTTTCCGATATGTTGTTGTTGTGGTTGTTGCAGTTGTTGTTGTTTGTCACTTTCGAGTTTTTACCCTTTGCATTTGTGGGTATTTTTGTAGGGCGAGCGAGAGAGAGAGCGAGTGCCCAAAGGAAAACTCGACGCGTTACAATATTATTTCTATTATTTGTTTGCTTTTATTTTTACAATTTTATTTTTCTATTTATTTTTTGTTAGGTCTGTTTTATTTTTAGCGTGAAATTTTCTGCGGTCAGCAATTTAAAAATAACAACAGCAGCTCCGCATGGATTGCACTTTACTTGGACATGGACTTTAAAGCTGATGCTGATGCTGATGCTGATTCTGTTGATAATTCTTGAAAACTCGCGCCACAAATTTTTGAATCGTATTTTATGGATTTCTGATTTATTTTGGAACTTGGAACTTGGTTCTGATTTAGCATGTGCTTGGAATTCGCATTATTTTATTTGGATTCTTTTATCAGCGTTCACTTTTTTGCTTCTTGTTTCAGTCTGAAATTGTATTTCAGTTTTCAGTTACAGTTCAACCACATGCGATATCTTTGACGGCGGTTGACTTTGTTATTTTTGTTTTCTGGTTTCTTGTCCAATTCACCGCTCCGGCGTTCTGCTCACTTCGATGAACATCTTGTAACTATTTTCAAAAAGCGCACGAACGCAGCTGCAGAGCAACAATGACGCCGACGGCAGCGACGACAACGACGACGCTGCGGAGCACACAAAAATCAAACCAGCAGCAGCAGGCAGACAAACGAAACCGAAACCGAAACAGAGACCGAGACCGAGACCACCGCACAACAACGACAATAACAGCAACGACAATAACAGCGCCAACTCAAGAACACACAACAGCAGCAGAAGCAGCCAACAGCAGCAGTCGTCGTCAATGTGCTTACGTGCGACTGTGTGTGTGTGTGCGAGTGTTCTGTGAGAGCGTCAGAGAGTGTAATTTAAAGTTAAAGAGCCAACAGCCAAAGAGAGCGCACTGCTGCTGTCTCTGCTTGTGCTTTTGTAAACGCAAGCCACAAGAAAAAAACGAAGCGTAGCATCCGTGTGCTGCGCTGTTGGCTACTGAAGAACTGAAGCACTGGCTGGCCGACCAGTCGAACCAGCCGAACCACAGCAACAGCAGCCGAAGCCGAAGTCAAGTGGCGGCTCGTGTGCGACAGCGACGTCGAGACAGCTTCGTGCGCTGCCAAAGAGCGAAATGATGATTACTTAAGCAGTGACTAACTAAACCAGCGTTAACAGTGTGCGGAGCGCACGAGCCAAACGAAGCGGCGTAGCAAAGCCAGAGGCTAAACCGGCGTCGCTGTCACCGTCGCCGTCGCCGTCGCCGTCGCTAAAGCCCAGTTTCATATAACAACTAACTACACTGTATGTTTAGCTGATTCGGCTGCTGTGCGTCTGTTAGATAGCGCGTCGCTGTTAACAGCTCCTCTGTTGCTTTGCCCTAACCTTATGTTATGACCATATGAAGCGTTCATGCATTTGATTAGCTACATCGATTTTAATGTCTCATTTAATTAGCTGGAATTGTCACAGCTAATGGCCTGGCAGTTATAATTAGTTGCACTTTGTGACAACTTTATCACTGGCTTTGACGGCCGCAAGCGAATTTGCTCATTAAAGCCAGACGCTAGACGCCAGACGCGAGACGCGAGAGATGAGAAATGAGAGAGCGGCAACTATTGCAGCAGAGGAATGAGCACACAACAGAAAGCCAGCCGAAGCCAGTGACAGGCAACAATGGCAGATGAAGTACAGTAAGCGCTTATTAAATGCGCTGAATGCAAATAAAACTTTTAAGCTAAATAGAAAATGGCGACGGAGGACCATAAGGACGAGCATCTGGGAGCATCGAGAAACAATGGCCGGAAATTCGCGCTGCGGAAGCCAAAAACAACAATAACAGCTAAAGCAGCAGCAGCAACGGCAGCAGCAACGCCACTTGGGAGCCCGTCAGTCGGCCACAAAAAGCAGCTGGGTCCCGTCCTTGCCCCACTCAAAGGATTTCGCCTGGCGCGGCACAAAACAAAGCGAGCGTATAATGTTGCGCTATAGAGCAGAATTTGGGGCAAGGGTGGCATAGTGAACGGGGCGGACGACAGGGCTGATTGGTTATTTCTCCCCAGCCTTCAACCGGCTGCAAGTTTTACTCGCCACCCCCCACCACCCCAAAGAGAAAAGTTATGAATTGTTCAAGCTGATTTTCATATCAAATATTTTATATTTTTTTCTCTGCCAATGCTGGAAAAGTTGGAGTGCATAAATCAAAAGCTCTGCATGTCCATCTACTTCAGAAACACTTGCCGTCCCTTTCATGCGGTGTCACTTGGCATATTGATTAATGAGCCATGAGCAACTGCACATAGCTTGGCACTTAGCACGTGCTGGCCGGGTCCAAAGTCAGGTACAAGGACATCAGCAACGGCAACAGCGGCTACAAATGTTATTTATGGGCGCCTCAGAATGCAATTTGTTGTGGTCAACAAATCGCCATACAAATCGCGAACGGGAGATCATTAGAGAATCAGAGACAGACAATCTGAGAGCACGAGAGAGCCAGAGAGAGAGAGTGGGAGACAGGGGGGGGAGTGACAAAGATGGGCGAGTATTTTGCCCAAAAAATAAGCAGCACGGTAAGCAAGTTGATTAGTCACGTCCAAGGAATGCCGAAAATAAAAGATGCTCAGCACCCAAAAGGTGAGGTTCCATCCAGAAATCAAATGCGCTAAAAGCGGCCAAGAAATCAGCTTAAGCCAAATGGCGTTAATCCATGAATTATTGCCTAAAAGCATGCCAAAGCGCATTAAGTTTTTGACTCTTCGCTCTTGCCCGAGCAGGTAAACAGACAAACTGAGGGATGGACGGACGGACGGACAGACGAACGGATGGACGGGCAAACAGAGACAGACAGCCGCAGGACAACAGCGACAACAACACCTACAACAACAACAACAACAACAACAACAGGTAGTTGTTGCTAGCTCGTTTTGGAGGCGAACGAACATTTGATACCCTTGCAAGGATCTGGGAAATAGTTAGCGCGCCATACAGAAGCAGAAAAAAGAGAGAGAGAGAGAGAGAGAGAGAGAGAGAGAGGGAGAGAAATAGCCAACGGGATAATTAGAAACACAAAAACATAGAGGGGGCAATAGAGTAAGAAAAAAAGATAGAGAAGGAGTGACAAGGAAGGAGAGACAGAGACATATACAGAGCATGATGATATATAGAGATAGATGCAATAAAGATAGAAAGGGAGAGGGATATTGCGAATGGATGAGCCTGCGAGAGAGTACAGAAAGAGAGACATATCAAAAATATCGAAAGAGATAGAGAAAACGAGAGAGAGAGAAAGAGAATGAAAATCAGAGAGGAAGCTTGAGAAAAATAAATCGATTACAAATATGCTCATATATGCCGTATAAAATACATAAACTAAATACATGAACTGGGATTTTTTCTAACCAACAATTGCTTATCTCAAAGAAATAGGAAAACCCCTCCGCAATACTAAAAATTCCCATCGATTGAAAAACAAATCTAAAGACAAAGCGAAAGATTGCTCTCGAGAGCCGAAGAAATGTATTATAAATTGAAAGTCGTTTAGGCATTGCTAGATTCAATGCGATGCCTCATACACGACTTGGCTGCCTTATCAGCATGCCCCAAATCAATATACCCTTTGTTAGGGCAACAGCAAGCACGCCAAAATAGCGACAAGCAACAACAAGAACAACAACAATAAAGTGAAGCAAAGAAAACATTAGTAATGTCCATGAAAGTGCCAATGAATAACATGGAACATACATTTGCTTTGCATTTGTATCTGTATCTCAAACGAACCAAAAAACGGAAAAAACGGACAGAAAAAAAAAACTGAAAATAAAATAAAATAAAAGCGCAAGCAAGCAAAACAAAATAAGCCCAATTTTGACCGCACCCAAGAGCCGAGAGAGATCCAGCTCTATAAGGCAGATATTTTTGCCTGTCAGTCTTACAGTGTGTGTGTGTGTGTGTGTGTGAGTGTCGCGAACTGTTTCTTTTTTTTTTACTTTTATTTTTTTATGAGTATTGACATTATAATCAACGCCGTTTTCAATTTCAACAAACCTCCTCCGAGCAACAACAACAACAAACAAAAAAAAAAGGTGCATCCCAAAACAAAAGCCAAAAAAAGTTCTGTTTGCTTTTTTGTTGTTCAATTTTTTTTTTTATCTTTCTTTTTTTGTCGCTCGTTGTTCAGGCTACTTTTCAGGTCGTTGGGCAAAAAATATGTAAATTATGACTGCAAAAAAAAAAAAAAAATACACACATAACTATGTGTCTCTGTGTATGTGTGTGTGCGTGTGTGGCATGCGTCAGTCACCTGCGGTATTTCAATTTTGGTCACCCGGTCTCGTTTTTATTGCCTCGATCGGGTCTCTGCGGCCCCGTTTTTGCCCATTCAATAAGCTGCATAGTTTTTGAGCTCCAGCTGCAGCTCCCCAAAGGATTGTGGCGCCCGTTAAAAGTTATTACACGCTTTAGTTCGTCTGCCCTTTGCCAATTGGACAGCATATTGAAGTTGCAAAGCTGCTGTGGGCCGCTTGCCTTTGGGCCTGTTGCAACTGCCACTTGTGGCATATTTACATACTCTGCTCAAGTGCATTATGTAAATGGAAAATTTTAATATTAAAATTTACAAAAATTAGAATAAATATAGGAAAACTTTGTCAATTTACAATGCTCGAGTTTCTCTTCCAAATGTCTCTAGTAAAATTAGTTTAAAAATGTTTTAATACAAATTTTCACAATTTAAAGAATATTTTATTATTTTTTAATTATTAATTTTTAATTATTTTTTTTTTATTTTTAATTATTATTACTTTGTTTTTATTTTTAATTTTTTTTTATTTATAATGGAGAATAAAATAAAATAATAAAATAATATATATGAAAATTTCTTAAAGTACACGTTTTTATAATTTTTCATATTTTTTATATCTCAAAATATTTCTATATATATTTTTTTGTTATTCTAGAAGAATATAGAATATTTGTATTATAATATTAATATTGTATATGTATATATATTTTTATTTATCTATTATTTATTTTGTGCAGTGCAGCCTCAACATATTTCAATAAATTAACTTGAAATATATGTATATATGTTTTTTATTTTTATCATAAACTTTTTATATAACTCATCTTTCAGCTCATATATACAGAGTCTAACTTCTAGATTTCATTAAGCTTTATTCACAATCATTTTTGTCTGTACTTGCCATATGTTGAGATTTGATATACGATTAAATCTGGCAAACAGAAAGATATCAATATACCTGGACACTCTGGTCTCGCCACACCTTTTGCAGTTTCCACTTATTGATAGCCATACCTAGCTTCTATCATATATGATATCTATTTAGGCATTTGATATAGCAGTCAGATGTTTATGAACATGTTTTCTTATTATGAGTAAAGCCTTACGGATTTAGAGCAAGGTACAATTTTAGTGGAAGAGTACTAGAGTTTTAGTGTAGGGTACAAATATTTGTATACACGAACACTCATCTATTACCAGAGTTTCAGTACTGTAAACGTAAGTTTTAAAATGACAGTTTGAGTACAGAGAAGCAGAATTTTTAAGACCATTCTACTTTAATTATACTAGAAGACCTTTACTTCAAGACTTTTAGCACCAGAGTTGGACAAGATCTAGAACATACGTTTAAGATTACAAGTTTTAGCACAAGAATCATAGTAAATGAATTTTATCGGGAGCTTTTTGCATTATAATAATTTTGGTTCAAAGAGATTTAGTACAAAATGTCTAGTGCACGAACTTTACCGCAAGAGTTTTTGTGAGGAACTAAAGATATGATGGAACGGACTTCCCCTTACTGTACACTACTTTTGACTGATGATAGAAATTTGAGATAAAGTCCGACATATCTCTTAAAATAGATGCAAGATGAATCTATGACAAGTTTCAAGAGAAAGACCATGGCCACAGTGAGTAATGTATCACCCACTAGTCAAGCAGCTATACTGACTATTCTATACTGTACTATTGTACTATGAAAATGAAGAGTCAATTAACAATGTTTTAATGTCATTAGCTATTCTTGCCGCTCAAAGTTCAACACGACGAAACGAAATAGACATTCCATGCAAATAAATGTTGCTGCATTTATTGCACACGCTTGAAGAATTTCTCGAATTGATAGTTCGTCCAGTCTTCGGTTGCCTTAATTGAATACCGCTGCCAGCTGCCTGCAGTCGACAAGCCCCGACGAGCTCGAGTCTCTTCTGTCATTCGACGGCACTCAAATGCAGCTGAGAAAGAGTTGAATTACAGCAGCAGTCGTCTACCAATACGTAAACGAATACAATTACCTGTAGATAGCACACACACACACATACACGCATGTCAGGTGTCGTATGTATGAGTATGGGTGTATGTGTGCTCCCCTCTAGCAAAGCCAAACCCAACCCAACCCAGCCCCTTCGGTCAGCGCTCATCTGTCAGCGGCAACGTCCCAGTTCGAGTCTGAAGCGTCCGATTCGGATTCGGATTCCAAATATGATTCTAAGCTCGAGCCAATATGTGCATTAAATGTCAATAACCATAACTTAATTCATTTGGATTTGGTTTGTCTTTCACATGGCTGAACGTTCATCGCCCCACTATCGCACTCGAGCTGTTTGCATTGGCCGCAAAGGTCAATTCGCTCTCTCTCTCTCTCTCTCTCTCTCTCTATGTGTGTGCTCACTCGCCTCGGTTCCCCTCCCCAGCCATACCACATCAGATAGAGGTATCGTTGGCTGGCTGCTCTCCAGGCACATTGAAATTGAATAAGCACACTGCAGTGGACTAAAATATTGACTCGACTGCAGTTTTGGGGTGAACCATAAATCACACTGATTGTCAGCACGACTGGGTTGGGGGCTGCCTTTGATGAGTGTCCGGGAGGGGGGTGGGTCATCAGCCGGAACCCACTATCATAATACTCGACTCGAGCTATTTGATAGCATTTTAGGCTAATTGTGCGTTTGCCAAAAGCCAAGGATTATAAAGCGATAGAGCAAGTTCGGAACTAATTTGTGCACAATTAAAATGCATTTTGTATTGACAGAATGTTTTCAAAGTTTCAATAAACTGCGGAGGGAAAGAGTGCAGAGATGATAAAGTGTAGTTAGATATGGGAATATTAAAGTAGAATAGGCTTGATGTTGAGCTGGCTGAGGTCAAAGATGAGCAGCCTAACTGAATTGAATTGTGCTTTCCTTTTGAGTTCTTTACAGAGCCTTTCTATGTGCTTCTCAAAGAATGTACGAATGGTGTAAGATTCATCCAAGAAGTAATTTATGACAATTAAAGTTACTTGTTAAAAAATCTCATATTTTAAGGAGTGTCTTCTTCCCGGGTAGTACTAACTACTGCACTATATGTATGAAATTCTTCATATGTACATATATAAAATATTTCTAGCTGTTCGCCTTATGATTCTTGTTCTGCCCCTACAGTTACTCTAATAACTGGTTGTCTGAAATTATAAATTTAGAATTATAAACTTAGAAGTATTCTTAGTCTGATATTTGTTATTTGCATAGATATCAAAATGATTTGTTTGATGGGAACCTTTTCAAATAATAATACAATGAACACGGAAGTTATGCAAGAAT